TAAACCTAATATAAATTTGGTATTAAAAAATAATAATAATTTTTTTATTTAAAAATACCGGGTACCCGAAGGGTAACGGTTCCAAAAAATTGAGAACCGGAACCGGAACCATTCTCAATCGGTTCCGTATTTTAGGAACCGGAACCGGAACCGGAACCGGAACCACTCATATCGGTTCCGGTTCCGAAACCGGCGGTTCCAAGGCGGTTCCGGTTCCATAGCCGGGTACCCGGTTCCGCTGCTCACCCCTAAGCGACACTGTGAAAAGTTGAGTGCTAATTAGGTGCATGAGAAAGATCCAACTATTCGATGACATCTTCCACATTTGTAGATAATGACCGTCATTGGGTTTTAGTAACAACCAACTTGACCTAGTCTTGATGGAAGACTTGGTTTGTCTATTATTGATGTTAAATATAGATTTGTTATTCGAGATAATTTAAGTAATATAGAAAGGGATTTATCTTATATTTGATGTTTTATCAAAAAAATTAAATTAGTCGATCTTCTCAGATTTAAGAGCGTTACAGTTTAAATATGATAATTTAATTAATAAATAAAACGATTAAATACGAAAACTTCTATAATATTTTATAAAGTAATTTTAATGCATATTGTGGATGTTCTTGGTGATTATTAATGTAATTTTTAATATTCCATTAATAGTTTTTTGCTGTTATATAAAAAAAGTTCGTGGATATAATTTAAAAAAAATAAGAAATTGATTTTGGTATTTGTTAATACTAAAAGAGTATTCGTGCAATGCAGCAAGATATATCTTGATTTTAATATTATTATTTTTTATCTCAGTCGATGTTATAATATGGTCTTATGTGATTTTGAAAAAGCGATAATGTTTTTTTTTAATAAAATATAAATTTAAAGATATCATAAAAATTTGACAAAATTATATCGATATTAGTATTAAATTAACTATTTAAAATTCTTCATTTTTTGTGTAATTTTTTAATTTAATTTTTTTAATTATAATTTAATTTAAGTTCAATAGCGAAGTAATTTATATTTGGTTTAGTAATATAATTTTCTTATAAAGATAATAGTTAATTATTTTGTTAGAACTCGATAATTATCTTAATTATATTTTAGATATTTTATATTTTAAAATGAGATGTTTATCCTTTATTTGATTATGTTTATCCACAGTTTAATAAGTTGTACTTATGCATAATTTATTTGTAATCTTGACTTTTAAGTAATATGCATCAATATACAATACTTCATGCATAAAAAATAATTTTTAAAAGTTTTTGTCAAATGTTTTATAATATAGTATAAATATAGATAATATGTCTTTGATGTCGTGCCAAGTATGTATATAAAAATATGAATACCTTTATCTAATTTAATTTTGTTTATAAAAGATATAAATTATAATTTTATGATATCGTTAATTAATTAATATTTTTTATTTGTTCAATTATAGACTTAACATTAATATTTTAACAAATATTTAAAAAGAAAAAAAATTATTGTTGCCCAATAAAAATATAAAATTAGCATATTATAAATCACATTGGTAGAAATAATTAATAATACAAAACAGATAAAATTATATTCTTGTTTATAAAAGTTCTTAAAGTTGAAATTTGCGCCAATTTTTTTATACCTCATTCATTGTTTTTTTAATGCAAGATTCTTATAAGCAAAAAATGTAGCTTCTTATAAATATCAATATTGTGAAGAGTTCTTATAAAACCTTATATTTTTGAATTCTTGAACAAGAACCTTGCTTCTTACCTTAAACTTGGTGTGAAGTGACAATTTGTAATTTTTTTATACATTTCAAATTAAATATTAGATATTTATTTATAAATATATGATAATTATTGATGTTGTAAAATTTTGTAGGACCTACAAACAGGTTCTTACAAAAACTATCATTGTGGACTTTTCTATGAGTTCTTAATTTGATGAGTTGGAATCGATGTGGCAAAAAAAAAAATACAAAAAGTAGGTTTTTAAGAGCATCTTTAACATATTTTCTATAAATTCTTTAAACAGAGAGCCAAAAGAATTAAAGTTTTATGGTCTAAATGGTGAGTTTTGATCTGATTTGAAAAAGGGTTTGAAGTTGGTTTGAAATAGGGGGTTGGAAGAGAAGTCTTGACCAGACTACCGGACTTCCGGTCAGTGCTGCTAGACCTCTAAGCAAGTGTTGCTAGACTTTCCTTGAAGAAGAAAGGGGGGACAGTGATGAATGTGACTTCCAAGAGGCTTAAGTCGCATGCATACTCCGTTGTTTTGTGTTTTTTTCGTTCTTCGTTCAGGCTGTTTTGGGGTTTTTCAATGTCACGGTTAGGTGACTTATAGTGTGTTAAGAGTTATAGTATACTTTATTGGCATAGATTGTAACCCATGCTTATTTGACTTTGATTCTCGTATTCGGTATTAGAGTTCGTTAGCATATAATCGTAATCCATGTGAGTTTTCTTACAACCCTTGGAATTAAAATGCATGAGTTATAAAATGATTAATTTATGAAAGAGTGTGCTATTTGATATGAGAATCTGAGAATAGCGTAAAGTGAGTCATTATTGTGGTAACTATCAATGTGGAGTTGAGTTAGTTTAGCCAAAGTGTACGTACGATGTGGTGTATGTGATGGTGTGATGTATTTAACGGAGTGGTGTATAAAACGAAGGCAATGAGCCGATTGGGTCAACTATGTTTAGCAAAGTAGTTGAATTACATTTTATGGAAGTTATTATTGTTTAATATTTTTGAAAGATTAATATCTATTAGTTTTATACGATGTTGTTCTAACAATGATTTCCTCACTAAACCTTATGGTCTAACCCTTCTTTTGTTTTTGAAAAATGCATATTTCAATGCAACCACGAATAGAAGGTAAAGAGAAGGGAAAGTTATAAGATCATCATTTGGCTGCTATTATGTAGTGTATGAAGTTTGTTTGTTATGTGAACTTATGAAACTGTTGTATACAAGTTGTGTAAGCATAAGTTTGTAGTATACTTTTGGTAGTTTTATCGTTGTGTTAATTTTGGGACCAATGTGTAATATTTTTATGAGATGTTATATGTAACATATGTGGTTTATGCGTTATGTTTTGACGGGTCGTTACAGTTTGTTTCATTCATTACTGGGTGATGCATCTCCGGCAATGTAAAAATTATCTGTTTGTTTTAGTTTTCAATCTTATAGTTTTTCTTGCTTTATAAAACTTACAGTGAATTCTTTCTACACTTATATATTTTTGCCTCAATTTTCTTGACCTCTTCTTCCTGATACGAGAATTATCTTCAAAATCATATAAAACACGGAATAGGTCAATGAATAGTTGACGTCATTCATATTGGATTGAAGATATTTGGCAACAATTTGGAGAAAGAAACAATAATACTGAATTAAATACTTATTTTATATTATTGTATTTGATAATATATTAAATATACATGAATACAATAAAATAGTACGATACATAAAATTTAAACGAATATACGTATAAGTATATTTTAATTAATTAATCAGACAATCAAATTTATTTACCGTCATCGTTGAATTTTTAATATTAATTAATAAATTAACATTTTGTTATTAAATAATAGTAAACACGGCATCTAACAAGTTGTACCTACTATTGAATTTTAATAAATGACTCCCGCGGAATAAAAGGAATACTCTAACCAAACAACATTGATGGATTTATAAATATGACATTAGTTAGACGCAATCGACCAGTATGATATTGGATCATCGAATAATCATCTTGAGATTATTTAATAATTAAAATATTGTATAAAAAGTTGTCTTTATAGAAGATAATTTCTAAAATTGAATATTTTTGTTACGAAATTGATAGTAAAGTGATAAAAAAAATGTATATTTTGCAACTCCAAACCGTTTTCCGAAATAGAGGAATGTTTGAAACATAACTATATCCAAGATTGAATTATTTAGGATGGAGAAATACCCATTTTATAAAAAGCTCATTAAGATATTAAATATATGTTACGATATTTAATCATATAGTTGGTGATAAAAACTCCTGAACTTTATATGGAAAAATAAAATCGAATTTTTTATTAATTTCTATTTTTGGGAGCGATTAATTATTTACGGGCCTCAAACAAAGTTCTTGTTTATTTAAGGGACTCATTTGTTGATACCTTCAAAATTATAGTATATTAATTGATATTTACTTAGATCATGTCATTGTTAACAAGTCATTAAGCTAGGTTATTGAAACGTCAATTAGAGTAGCTTATGGACAATATTTTGTTACTTTTTTTTAATTATAAGTCTTATTAGTTTTAATTATTATTTATTACTATTAATTATAAATAAGCATTAGTAAAAATTAATTATTAATAAACAAAAATAAAAATTAATTATTAATATTAATAAATATTTATTATCAATAACTTAATATTAGTTGAAATTGTTAATTACTTCTCATTTTCTGGATATCTTTTTTAATCGTTTTACATGTTTATCAACTAGTTTTTCAAGAAAATGATTTATTAATCAGCTAGCTTATTAAACATCAATTAAATAACTTATCAACTAGTTTGTCAAACATATGCTAAATCAAGAGAACCCTTAAATAAATGAAAAGTTTGTCTAAGACTCTTAAATAAAATTTTAAAAATTAGTTGTTCAAAATAAATATAAAAACCAATTCCCTTTATTTGTTTACTAAAAGAAATACCGATCGTCCTTTTTTTTTTATTAACCTGGATATCCAACTCGCTATGCGAGCCGACTAATTTCAGGGCGACCACCTGCTTTGTAGATAGTCCGGAGTCACCGTATTCGAACCTCCGTGGCCACAAGAAGATTTTTATTCTTCCTTGAATTTGAATCTAAGACCTCTTGGTACTTTTAACATTTGAAACCAAGCTCAAACCAATCAAACACCATTCTTATAGTTAAACCAATCGTTCTTTGTTTACTTTATGTATTGTCAAAATAGAAATCGACAAATATGAAACCCAGATGTTCTTACTTTCACCTGTCGACCTAAAAATTGCACAATAGTCCCTATAAATTTAAAATTTTACAATAAAAGTCTTTTGCATTTTATATTTTGGTCCCCAGCAATATTCATGTCTTCTTCCCGTTTCCTTAGGCTGTATAAATGCTTGTCCTCCGATCTCCTTCTTCCCACATGATTCAACTGCTTCTTCTCTTTCTTTCTCACACACACACACGAAACACGTAGTGATCAACAGCGATTAAGCATGGTTCTATCCAAGGCCGTGCAATCGGAGTCCGATATCTCCCTCCACTCCACTTTTGCATCTCGATATGTGCGCGCAGTTCTTCCAAGGTGAATTGATCCACCAGATCTAACAAATTTGACGTTCATTTTTGATTTTGAGTCGATTAATTCCAATTAATATCTGCAGGTTTAAGATGCCTGACAATTCGATCCCTAAGGAGGCTGCGTATCAGATAATAAACGATGAGCTGATGTTGGATGGAAATCCCAGGCTGAATCTGGCGTCGTTCGTGACGACATGGATGGAGCCTGAATGTAATAATCTAATGATGGCTGCCATTAATAAGAATTACGTTGACATGGATGAGTATCCGGTCACGACTGAGCTCCAGGTATACATATTTATTCTTCTTCTTCTTCCTCCAATCGTAAGGCCTAACTTTTTCAATACGCCAAAAACCTTGACTATGTCATGGATGACATAAAACATGGATGAAAAACGATTAAAAAAAAAAGGGGAGTGCTAATGGCACCCTCTGTGATGTCAGAATCAGGTCATTTAAACATTGGAAATGTAAAAAGCATGTATTGATGTTGATGTGTGTGAAGAAGAAATTCATGGATAAAGGTGCATTAAGCAATGCATAGGGGTGCATTTAGCCACCCAAAAAAAAAAGTCATTGCGAGCTATGATGTGATTGAGAGACAAATGTCATACGCACTTTTTTTGTGTTATTATAAATGCTATCGCTTTCTATGCACCATATTCTATTAATCTCCTGCAAAATAACACTAACTTTTGTTTTGGGAGAATAAATAAAACAATATTTACATATATAAGCAAACAATAACGAAACAAGAGAAGACTAAAACGTTTGAAGGTTAGGTCACCCGTTCGTCCATTGACCGTGTTTCATAGTCGCTTACATGTGATTTGACCGTTTTTATTATTATTTTATTATGTGATGGTTCTATTTTGATTTTATGTATATATATTTTATTTTCTTAAGGAAAAAGATGAAGTTGGCCCATTCTATGTTAGATTTGGATTTCGGTGAGAAGACAAGTTATGATGAGAATGGTAAGAAAAGATTTTTACTGTTGGATCAATTTTAATTGAAGATCAATACTAATAATATGTATCAAGATGTATCAGATCAATTACATTCTAAAATGTAATTCATGGATGAGTATGAAATTAAAAGTAATTAATGATAAAAATCTTTTTTACGCGTCTCATATTAACCTTCTTTTCACATGATACTAATTCTTTGTATTGTCATTTTCATCAACAAAGGAATATAATAAGCTTCGAATATCATTCGTTGTTAGTTTTCACATTTGGAAAAAGATTTTTATTTTAGTTTTCTTCTTTACCAAGGAAAATAATTAAATAAAGCGAATAATGTATTAAATGAAGCTGATATTTTATGAAAAGCAACTTCCCCGTTGTTTACTTGCTTGACAGAGCAGGAGTTAATGAGATCTTTCTTTTATATTGATTTATCCATTTTTCATCGATCAAAAACATACTCTTCAAAAGTCAAAAATCAAAATATTATATGCATTTTTCTTTTATCATTAATTATATATTTAAAATATTTAATATATTTAATAAAATATTTAATTTTAAATTTTTTCTAGATTCGGATAGAAATTGAGAACCATGTCTTTATCTATCTCAGTATTATCTTTGATATTTTCTAGCATATGTTACTGTCCCTTTCTTCCCATATTTCAAACATATGGCCCATAAATTCCCCTTCTTCAAAAAAGTTATGTTACAATTCTTTTTAGCGTTTTTTTTTTCATACCCATCTATATCAAACAATCATTTTTATGTTTTTTAATAATAATTTGACATGATTTTGATGTAAATCGGAAACATATACCAAACCCTTCTGGAATAATTACTTTGATTGCAATCTATTAAATTAAATCAAAGAAATAATTAACTTTTAAAAAGTTTTTATGAGTAAGTTATCTTGGCAGGTATCATATCTTATATTTATTGGTAGTTATATGTTTTAGTCAATATTTAATGATGGGTATATTTTGCATGATTTTGTTCGTCGACAAGTGTAAAGAAATTGCAACCAAGCGTTTTGATTTTAAAAATGTTTTCAAAATAAAATATATAAAAAGCATTTTGGTGAATAGAATAATATCTTTTCAAAGATCCAACACTTGCAAATATATAATGGATAGGTTCAAGGGGTCATTGGATCTCACAAACCTAAAGTTTTTCCTTTGGATGCTTTTCTACCACTTAATTTGCTTAGCTCATATTTTATAATTTTACATATTAACCACATATTTACTTAGGTTAAAAGATAAACTTTGTATATATTTTAATCTTTTTAGACCCTACTTTTTATATAAGATTTACAAGTCATTTGATTGTTTACCGGATAAACATTTATCGGTCATCATCACTTGTTTTCGCATAAGATATGATAAAGATCAAGAATTTTGCACAGTAAGAAACTAAGAAGCATAACAATGACTTGTAATCTTACCTGGTAAGGAGGGAGAAACCTCTTACCCGGGGTAAGCGTCTGCCAAGTAAAAGATATTTATCAATAATCCATTTTGATAGTTGATAATGTCACCTCATAAAGTAAGTGATGATGATGACTATTATTGATAAGTATTTGATAAACAATCCTAATTAGCCAACATATTTATTTTAACTTTTGTCAATTTAAAACATGTCTTAAGTTTTGAATAAGTTCTGCAAGTGGGCATAATATACAAGGTAATTATAACACATTTTCAAACATAAGATTTATTAAACCTACTTTCTAAATTCTATTGATTAGGGAGTAGGGACTGATAAAAAATTGGGACATCTTACACCTGTGAACTAACTAGTCCATGGTGTTCATCCTAAGCAGTAAGCACCATATCTTTCTACATTACTAAATGCATTATCTATATAAGGAAAAATAACTATTAACTTGAGTTGGAGAAAATTAGGGATAGTGCATATAATAAATATATGGTTTTGGTTGCTTGTTTTCAAAAAAGTTACAACTTTAAGAATTCAATATTGTTTCTAGTCTCTCTTTTTCTTTTTCTTTTTCTTTGTCTCCAAATGAGATTTCTTCGAATGATTTCCTGTCCCCTTTCTACCAAAATTTCTCCACTTGCTAATAACTTCATAATTGTCATAATTTTAAATTTATATTTTTAGCAAAACTTAAAAAATAATAAAATTTGCTTTTTCTAGATAAAGGGTTTTTCTACATGTTACTTCCAAATATTGTAGATATGTTTTTTTTTTCTACAAAAACCTGAATACAGTTTCTAAAGTTAGATACTTGCCTTTATAATTTATAATCGACTTATTGTGTAATTGTGTATTTTGAGATAAAGTAAGTGAAACCACAAAATGATTTATTTATTTCTATCACTGTAGAAAACTGAATCAAACCAGAAGATCGGGTGTCATCATGTTGGTAAATGAAATACTTTTTGGGTCGTATAATGCATCTAAAATGTATATGAAAAACGATTTGATGGAGGGACATGTATCTATGAGACCATTGAAGATTTTTTTTGTATATTTTCTAGGGCCCCTTGATGTTAGAAAAATTGGGGATTGGATAATTTTGTTGGATCGTGAAAGTTCATTTTCCAAATACAATAATTTGTCTCTTATAGCTTTGGGTATCATGAATTTCGTAGTGGGGTAATTACGGAGAAACTCTCTATTTCAAAGGCGGTGAGATCGAGTCCTTATATACCCAAATTCTCCTTCACATATTTATATGAGATCCACAGTTACAAGTTGTTAAAAGCGGTTACAACTGTGCATGGATAAGATCAGAGAACAATTACAATTGTATCTGAATTCTGATTGTACAGACCATAAGTCTAGTTGCACAGACCACAAGCTTGATTGCATAGTCTAAAGTTCAGACTTAGCCAATTTTCTACCAACTTCGGGAACAAGTTCAAGAAGGTTTCCAACCTTCTGAAATTTTTCCGGATTATCCCGCAACTAGAATTCTCTAAGTCTTAACTATTCTTAAAATCCATACACAACCAAGGGCTCTGCACCTTGGAACCCTGCTACGGGCACTGCCCCTAAACCCTACAATATTAGAATGAGATGTATTAAGATGCATGATGAAACATGATTCATGGGTGGATTTGAGATTAAAGACGATCAATGGTTTAGGTCACTTCTTACACTTTTCACACGATCCTTCGTTTAATGTCGATATGTATAAGAAAAATAATAATAAGTAAGGATATATTCAACGATATAAACATATATCATTTAACCTTATCCATGCTAAATTATTCAAGTACTCATTGTTACACCCCTATTGGAATCAATTATTTTTTTTCACTTTTATTGTCATGGGTTTGTCAAACTCTTTAAACGTATAGGTGGGGCTATTGTACACTTGTGCCGGTCACATTCAAATCAATATTTTTATATAATGATAATAATAATATCTTATCAGTTTTTATATTTTAGTATTTTATTATCATTTTTAGAGCAATTCAGTGCTCAACTTTACAAAAGATTTTTGATTTTACCAAATTAGTTTTTTCTTGATTTTTATTAACCAAAACATATTTTAATGCATTTTCTTTTTGTCAATTAACATTTATAATCTATCCATGCTTATTTGAATGTTTTATGGATCTCCTTATTTAATTTGTAGCTTTTAATAATCCCATGTCATTGAAAATTGAAATAATTTATCTTCTTTATCAATTTATTTAATAAGATGAGTTGATGTTAAATTTGAATTTTTTATAAGATGTATTGGGTTCGGGGACCTAATCCATTTAGGAATTGGTCTGCTAACCAAATCTCAACCTGTCTCAATTGGGCTTGGGTTTTTAGGCCTGGTTTCAGACCGGATGAAGATTAGATTAAATATAAATTCGTAGAAACTTCTTATAAAAACAACTTATTGACTTATTCGGGTGTAACACTGGTAATAAGCATTTTTAAGTATTTGGATAAACAACTTATACTAGTGTCAAACCGGTAATAAGAAGTTTTTGATAAAGTTAAATCATTCTAACTTATAATAAGTTGATAAACATTTTTATACCAAAACATAAGTTGTTCAAATAAGCAATCCCAAACACCCCCCCTATTCATTCACCTTTAATGAGGATGAAAAACTGCCATCTAGAAAAATTGAGTTATCGAAAGGCATTTTTTATTTTTTATATCGGGTGTATTATGCAAGAATATCATTTCAAATAGCGTCATTTGTGTTTGAATTATTGTATGTTAAAACGAATGCAGAACCGTTGTGTAAACATGATCGCACATCTCTTCAATGCACCACTTGGAGACTCAGAAACCGCAGTTGGAGTCGGGACCGTAGGGTCATCGGAGGCAATCATGCTGGCTGGATTGGCTTTCAAAAGGAAATGGCAAAACAAGATGAGAGCTCAAGGAAAACCTTGGGATAAACCTAACATTGTCACCGGTGCCAATGTCCAGGTAATTAAAACCCAAAAAAAAAGACATTTTTGTATCATTTATTATATAATGTTCAAGAATTTATTAAAGTTACATTTTAAAAACAGTATTAATTATTTGTGAATTTAGGTATGCTGGGAGAAATTCGCAAGGTATTTTGAAGTGGAATTGAAGGAGGTAAAATTGAGGGAGGGTTACTATGTGATGGACCCTGATAAAGCCGTGGAGATGGTCGACGAAAACACCATCTGTGTGGCCGCGATCTTGGGTTCGACCCTCAATGGTGAATTTGAAGATGTTAAGCGTTTGAACGACCTCCTAGTCGAGAAGAACGCAGAAACTGGGTATGTACGTTTGTTATATTTATAAAGTACATATATAGTCGATTTTGGAACCTTATAATTAAAAGGGTGTATATATTTGAATGCAGATGGGATACGCCGATCCATGTGGATGCTGCGAGTGGAGGGTTTATCGCACCCTTCCTTTACCCAGAATTGGAATGGGATTTCCGGTTGCCGTTGGTTAAGAGTATAAATGTTAGCGGTCACAAGTACGGTCTTGTGTATGCCGGAATCGGGTGGGCGATTTGGAGGAGCAAAGAAGACTTGCCTGACGAACTCATCTTTCACATTAACTATCTTGGTGCTGATCAACCAACTTTCACCCTCAACTTCTCCAAAGGTAAACTAACAAATTTTCGTAGTAGTCCGTTTTTCTAATTGTTAAAGTCTCGTAACAATTAAATTTATATCATTTCACATTGATATTGGAACTTTTGTTTGTAAATGCTCTTTTTTGAGAGTAATCAAATGGAGTTCCATATGGTATGAACTATGAAAGCCAATGTTCACCGCTTCGGACCTGTCAATCTGTCCTGTGTAGCCCATCTTGTCAATGTGGGGCAATTCATGTATGTTTAGCCTCCATTACAAGGGAATTCGTTGAGGCCTACATCAATTAAACTTGAACCATTTCTTCTCGATATATATTAGAAACTTCTTTTTTATTCTTGAAGAACTTCTTTCTTCTCAAAAACCAACGAGGTGTGTTAATTATTTTCTTTCCAGGTTCGAGTCAAGTAATTGCTCAGTACTATCAACTCATTCGCTTGGGTTTTGAGGTTAGTTTTCATCTTTAAAACTACTCTTCAATCTTCAAATACAATTTACGAACCTTAAATATTTTAAGAACTCATAAACCACCATTTTTATAAGTATTCATTATGAATAACATAATAAAATATTCATGATGAATGTCATGACATATATTTATCGTGGATACTTTTAAAATAGGTAGTTCCTGGATTTTAAAAATATTTAAGGTTTCTAAATGAAGTCAACAAACATTTGCCTTGTAAAAACTTACGATCTATAATTAGGGATACAAATGCATCATGGAAAACTGTCAAGAGAACGCGATGGTCCTCAAGGAAGGACTAGAGAAAACGGGTCGCTTCAATATCATCTCAAAAGACAACGGTGTCCCACTCGTAGCCTTCTCGCTAAAAGACCACAGCCAACACAACGAGTTCGAGATATCAGACATGCTGAGGCGGTTCGGATGGATCGTGCCGGCTTACACGATGCCACCGGACGCACAACACGTGACAGTTCTGCGGGTGGTGATACGAGAAGACTTTTCAAGGACGTTGGCAGAACGGCTAGTGACGGACATCTCGAAGGTGCTTCAAGAGCTTGACACGCTGCCGGCGAAGTTGAATGCGAAGATGGCAGTGAGTGCAGAAAATGGGGTGGTGACTGAACACGATATGGAAGTGCAAAAGAAGATAACTGATGCTTGGAGGAAGTTCGTGGCTGATAAGAAGAAAACTAACGGTGTGTGTTAGATGTGGGAGCATTGTATGGTGTGAGAAATATTTAATAACGGATCAGTTTGTGTCATCTGAGACGGTCACTGATGCTTGTATTCAATCCTACTCCAAACCCCTCATCATAAACGAGTATTTTTTGTGTGTATTTCATAATTATTCTTCTGTTTCAGAGGGTTAGAGCCGTTCTTTAGCATCTTAAACATGAGCATCGATTAAAGAGAATTATAAATATTTAATTTTTTATATGATTTGTTTGTTCTGTCATTGTATTAACATGTCGAATTAACGTCTGATATTAAGGAGCATGGCCGTCCATGTGGTTGCGAAGGTCGAAATTGTGTTTTTTTAAAGGAATGCGCCCTTATCATTTTGAGACGATTTTAGGAAATTTTAAATCTCTCTTGTTTTCATCCGGTAGTGTGGAGCCGGCCTGGCCTGTACTGCTAAAGAAAAAGGGCTCTCACAGGAATTGATTTGATGCATCTTATTAGTGTCGATATTCAATAAATAAAGATTGATTCAAGGATGAAGATCAATTTTTAAATTTCTCACCAGAGCTTCGGTTCTCACCGGAATCCAACTTTCTCTAATTAATATGTATAATATCATGATAAAAATGCATTAAATCATCGATAATAAAAATGCATGATATTCATATGAGCAAATATAAATAGTTATTAAGTGTTATTTATGATGAATAATTGATTCCTTGATGTCTCAATGAATTTGAGGTTATGATTTGATAAGAATAATTCATTTGTTACATCTTTGTTTTCTTTAGCATTTATGAATAGAAGAGATTGAAAAAGTTGAAACTTAAACATCAATTACTATGCTTGTTTCAACTTAAAAACCTCCAATAAGTTAATAGATAATGTTTACAAGTTAAATTAAATATAGTAAACATTTAATACACCATTGAATTAAAAATAAACTTAAATTACATTAATGAATCAACAACAATATTTTGAACATTAACCTATGACGTGTAGCTCAATTAGTAAATAACATAGTGATTTTGCACAAATATAAGACAAGTCTCGGGTTTGATTCTCCCCTTTCGTTAGCTTCAGCTGTCAACTGAGTCAAAAAATACCCCTTACATTGGTGTCCTTAAAGACGGGTTCCATGTAGGACCGGCTAAAATTGTCGATAATCAACTTTTATTCAAATATTTTAATTTTTAAATTATATATTTTAGATACATTGTTATGTATCATATTATAAGTTATGTTTAGTAAATTTTTATTATAATGATGAATAAATAGGTGAAATTGTTGGAAAAACATTCAAATAAATAGGTGATGTTGAAATTTTTTGTTGTTAGAAAATAGGTGTTATAATTAAAAAAGATTTTTTTTGATAATTAGATTCCAAGAAAACGATTTATTTTTTATTTTCAATTATTTTAATTTATTTATACTACGATGTTCCAAAGGATCTCAATTCTGGCTCCACATCTGATTTCAACACATTTTTAAAAGATAAAAACGGGGTGTCTGGGATTATTTATCAGAACAACTTATTTATTTATTTTGGTGTGACATTGATAATAAATATTTTTGAGTGTTTGAATAAATAGTTTATATCGGTGTCAAACCAATAATAATTTTTTTTGAAGAATTTAAACCATTTTTACATATAATAAGTTAATAAAAACTTTTGTAGATAAAAAAATAAGTTGTTTTAAATAAGCAATCCCAAACGCCTCATAAGAAAGACAAAATAGAATATATATATATATATATATTACAAAAATACAAGGTACATTTCTAATATTTCTTAAACAATGAGACATTTAAACTTGTTTTTGATATAGGGTTGGATTTCGGTGAAAAAAAAATGCTAAGCTAAGAAACGTAAGAAGGGATATCCATCCTTATATCAGATTAAGATGAGATGCAACCTATCAATCCCCATATCAAACATGATTCATGGATGAGTTTGACATTAAAAGTGATCAAAAACCCAGATCCATTCTTACGCTTGTCATTTTAACTTTCATTCTCACACGATCATTCCCTTTTTATATCATTAACTTATTAAGGGGTTGTTTGTTTACCTCTTAATAGTTCCATTAAGAGACAACCTCTGAACCTTTAAGAGGTGATTTTTGTTTGGTAAAAAAAAGTCTGTCTCTTAATGGTTCTAAAACTCTCTGAATGATTTTGTATCCTGGATCTCCCTTAATCATTAAGAGCCCTAATTTTATCGTACACAATTACCAAACAGTTATATTTCATTTTACATTATATCATGAAAGTCTTTTAATTAAAATGGACAACTTAATTATTCAACAACAAATCATTCAACAATTATCAAACAGCCTTTCAGGTTAAAATTTCCATCCATAAATCGTACGTATCATATCTTTGTTATTTATTTTGTATAAAAATAGTGTGCTATGGGCCCTAAAAAATGTGAGAAGTCATGATTTCAAATCTGTGATGAAATACCGGAAAAGCCCTTCAACAAACTTCGATAGAGTAGACAAAGTCCCCAACTTATATTTTCACATACACACACCTATCTGTGGGCGCTGCAGCAGACACCAAAGATGTTGAAGAAAATGGTCGTGATCCGGTGGTTGATGGTGGCGTTACTGGTGGTTTTTCGCATTCAAGAAGTTCGATCAGGTGCCTCAGATCACAAGTACAAACCTAATGATGAAGTCCCTATTTACGCTAACAAAGTCGGCCCCTTCCATAACCCTAGGTGGGTTCTCTGGATTAGATCTCTGTTTCATGCGTTTGATTTTGTGAATCGTGTTTCTTGTTCTATACTTCGTTTCTTTTGTTTTGATGTGTTTGCTACTTATCTACTGATTACTGGATCTATTTTGGAAAGAATTAAGGTTTCTGTTTTGAAATTTGTGGGATCTCAGCTTCAGTTATGTTAATTAGGGTTTTATGTTTTCGTAGTTGTAATTGTGAGAGGATGGGGTCTCAAGAGTGTTTGGGGACTGTTTCATCCACGTTTAGGCTTTAGATGCAGGCGGACTTGTGGTTGTTGAGCACGGAGAAGTCCGCGATTATGTGCATCTGATGATACTAAGAAGCTGTATGCCTAATGTGAGATACAATTTAGATCAGCCAGACTAGAATTTCACGTTACCTATTTGAAAGTTTGTGAGCGAAATTTGATGAGTCTATGTTGTAACTGAAGTTGGGGAAAGAAAGATGTTAAGATTTGAGCGCATTGAACTTGGTTTTGTTTTATAAGAATTTATTCTTAGATGAGTGAGATAAAAGATATTTAATTGCTTGTCCATCCTTAAGAAATGAGCTTTTTTTTATTCCCTAAACATAAAAGACGCCGAAGTAGTTTTATCCTTTCTATCATGTATGTTACAATATGCCACTAATAATGTGTTTTTCATATGTATATAGATCTTTTTATCACCAAACACAAGACCTGGGTTTGAAAAGATAATGTAGTAAATTATGGCTAATTAAACCTAATATGCATTTGACCGACACTCGACTGGCTAGCAGAAATGACTCTGAGAAGATTGATTTGTTTGGAAAAAAGGTAGAGTTGTATTTGAATTTGTACTAAATGTGTAACAAATGATAAATACAAAAGATGTAAATATTGTCTACAAGTTATAAAACATGTCTCTTTTTAATCAGACTAGCTGATCTTTGGATGATGACTCAAGAGCTATTATACTTGAAGGCAAGTCACTGGGAATGTTGCTTATGCATCTGCTCCTTGTCAGGGTTTACTCATGCAAGCAATTCTCAAACTTGTCTATGCGGTCCTAATACACCCATGCCATTCATTGTCTTTCACACTGGGAAACAAAGAAGTTGCTTCATTCCTTCAAACATTATGTTATTGCTTATGTAGTTTATCAAGTAAATCAAACAATACCCCCTGGAGTCTTAGAGAACTTTGATCCTGTTCTTGTATGTAGAATGGCCTTCCAGTGATGAGGAAGTGTTGACTGCATTATGCTTCATGTGAACATGCGTGTGTGACATGATTTTGTTTCTATAACACATAGGACAAATAACTGCATACAAAAGATGGCCTTGATAGCTTGTCAGGTGCAACGGAGACTATTCTTGACAAGGATTCTGGCTCTATTGATTGTGTTGTCTATCATGAAATAATATCACCAATTATGGCTCTATTAGTTGTGTTCGTAATTCAGCATGACTAGGCCCAAGAATTGCTAGGTAGTGGATATAATAGATTAAGACTCCCAATCTGTATATGTTCTTTGAGTCATATTTTGTTCCTCATGGTCATATATGCTTTTTAATTTAAAGAACCTTAAGATCGTAATTTACAACATGTTATTTATCAGATTTATAAAGACTTTTAAATTTAAAGAACCTTAAATTCATAATTTACAGCATGTAATTTTATATGCCTTCTTATGCACTGATTAGTTGTTTCTGTTTTCTTCTGTAGTGAAACATACCGGTTTTTTGATCTACCGTTCTGTCTACCAGGTGTGTGTGCTTGCCCTTGGTTTCTTGTTTTCAATGGACCTTAAGAACACGATCTAATAGATCATTGTAGTGCGTGGTTGGATCATAGTCTCTTACCAAACAAAATGGCTGCATGTGCAATCAACTATGAGAAATCCGTCAATCCACATATGATATATGAACGATGACTATACTCCCAGATTTTACAGAGAGAAGCAAAATTTATATGTTGTTCCAAAATAAGAAAAACGGATTATTGTTTTCATGGAGGGAGTATTGATTTCTTTGTTTGTTATTGCTTACATAATACCTTTTTGACAACTATTCTGAAACTATTAGGTCAAATATTTTTCTCACACGCTTTTCCTAAAGCCCGAGGTTCTTATGGAAACAGCCGCTCTACTCTCCAGAGTAGAGGTCAGGTCTGCATACATCCCACCCTTCCAGACCCCACCTCTGAGGAGGATATATGGGATAGTTTGGTTTGGTTGTTTTGTTGCTTGAGCTGTAATTGCTCTTGTGAGGGTGTGTGATTGATCCAAATGTTGTTTGCAGCTCACTTGAAGGAGAAGCCGGAAGCTCTTGGTGAAGTACTGAATGGGGATCGTTTAGTCAGTGCTCCTTATAAGCTTTATTTTATGGTTGAAAAGGACTCGGAAATTGTTTGCAAAAAAAAACTGTCAAAGGGAGAAGTATCTAAATTCCGAAGTGCTGTTGCCAAGGATTATTATTTTCAGATGTACTATGATGACTTGCCTTTCTGGGGATTTTTGGGGAAGGTTGAAAAGGACAAAACTGATCCCAGTGAGGAAAAGTATTACCTCTTTAAGCATCTTCACTTTGAGATCCACTACAATAAGGATCGTGTCATAGAGATAAATGCAAAAGCTGATCCTAATGCTGTTGTGGATCTGACCGAAGACAAGGAAGTTGAGGTAGAATTTATGTACACGGTCAGGTGGAAAGAAACAGACATTCCTTTTGAGAATAGGATGGAGAAGTACTCCCAGTCTTCTTCGCAACCACATCACCTAGAGATCCATTGGTTTTCAATTATTAACTCATGTGTGACAGTTCTCCTCTTAACCGGTTTCCTTGCTACAATTCTTATGCGAGTTCTTAAGAATGACTTTGTTAAGTAAGTAATTTTTTTTTGTTATTTCAGCAGCTCCTGTGACTAACTGTGTTATTTCTTTTTTTCATGCCTCCTGTTTGTTCTAAATAGTTTTTGTTATTTATGACAGGTATGCTCACGATGAGGAGGCAGCTGATGACCAAGAGGAAACTGGGTGGAAGTACATTCATGGTGATGTTTTCAGGTACCCTAAGTACAAGTCTCTTTTTGCTGCAGCCCTTGGTTCTGGAACCCAGCTATTTTCCCTGTAAGTAGAATTGGTGAATTAATTATTTTAACAATTTTTTCATCTTCTGTGCCTAAGTTTTTGAAAGTGCTAACTCTGACTACTTGTTGGTTCTATCAGTGCACTTTTTATCTTTGCACTGGCTCTTGTTGGAGTATTCTATCCATATAATCGAGGAGCTCTGTTTACCGCACTAGTTGTCATATATGCTCTTACTTCTGGGATTGCAGGCTACACTGCAGCCTCCTTTTATCACCAGCTAGAAGGAACTAACTGGGTATGTTATTCTACCTACTAAGGATTATAAATATGATATTTTATTACATCTCAACACTTTGGTTGTTGCATGGACCTTGTTACCTCTTCACCATTTGTGATGGTCAGTCTTGATTTATGGTCTTTGTTGATTGTTGCCTATAAATGTTGGCTTTTTATGGTTCATTTTGATGATATGGAATTGTGCAATTGCTTCTTGTAATCATCAGAGTTGTAAATTTGCTTGTATGACGACAGATTACCATACTATTCTCTCCTTGCATCCTTAATCCCTGCTCTCTCTCTCACTCAGACTCTCTCTCTCACACACACATACTCATTCACAGATCGACCTGTACATTTATGCATTACGAAGAGTAAAATTTGCACTGTTATGAAGTAGAATATCTGGTAGATTGGTTACTCTAGTGAGTGAACTAGTTGGGTACCATTTCAAAATATGTGAGGAGACCTTTCTAATGTCATCATGCAGATAGACTTTAAACTCTATGTTAGAATTTTTTAATTACTATACCAGTCTTTTACCACTTCTGACATTCTGCAGATAGCAAATATATGTAAAACTTTCCATATAAATCGAGAAGGGCTGGATTGTTGTTAGGAGGGTCGAATGCAATCAGATTGATGAATACCTTATAATTTATGATCATATAATTCAAACATATCGGAGCTGTCTCCGTAGCACTAGTGTAGTTTCCTTTTGCTGCTTTTTATTATTTTGTTGAAGCCCCAGTTAAATCTGCATCAATGATTGATGTTGATCTGATATTTGAATTTTTCGATTGACAGGTGAGGAACTTACTATTGACTGGTTGCCTGTTTTGTGGACCACTCTTTCTTACTTTCTGCTTTCTAAACACTGTTGCAATTGCTTATACTGCTACTGCTGCTCTGCCATTTGGTACCATCGTGGTGATCGTTTTAATATGGACTTTGGTGACATCACCTTTGCTGGTATTGGGGGGTATTGCAGGAAAGAACAGCAAGGCTGAGTTTCAGGCTCCCGTTCGCACCACAAAGTATCCCAGAGAGATCCCACCATTGCCTTGGTACAGGAAAACTATTCCTCAGATGGCCATGGCTGGTTTTCTCCCTTTCAGTGCAATTTACATTGAGCTTTACTACATATTTGCCAGTGTGTGGGGCCACAGGATATATACCATATACAGCATCTTATTTATAGTTTTTATCATCCTTCTTATTGTTACTGCCTTTATCACGGTGGCACTGACATATTTCCAACTTGCGGCCGAAGATCATGAATGGTGGTGGAGGTATGTAGCATTTTCACCCTGAATCTTGCTCATCGGAATAGCATATATGATGTACATCAATTTAAATAGTTCTCGTTGCTTTGTGTGCTTGTAAAGATTTTGATTACTTTATGTTCCTCCAGGATACCTCTATTTGTTTTTTCGTCATTAGGACCTTTTCCTGAATTATTTCCATTTGGCGCTAGGCTATGCTCATTAGCATTTACATTTCATCCATCTAACATTTGATTATGACGGACAATTTTAATCCCTTAACTTTGGTTGTTACACAGAACTTGAAATATAAATGCATTTGTACCATACTTATTGACATAGCCAAAGGATCGTGTGAGAAGGGAAGTTATAGTGAGAAGCATAAGAAGAGATTTGAATCCTTGCTCACTTTTAATCTCATACCCACACATGAATTGTGCTTTAAATGGAATTGATCCAGTGCACCTCATTAGTGTTGACATGCAATTAGGATTGATCCAGGGTGGAGAACTCTTCTTACGCTTCTCACCATAACTTCCCTTCTCACCAGAACCCAACCCTATTGACAAATATATGGTATTTTATGTCAGAATGATTGGGTCCTTATTTTGAATTAGATGATAAATGCATTTCAATTGCTTATATCTCAGTTTAGACATTTAACTTAATTGTGTTCACATGTTTTGATGGTCTATCTGCAAATTCTTTTCAGGTCTTTCCTCTGTGGTGGGTCAACTGGTGTTTTCATCTATGGGTATTGCTTGTATTACTACTACGAACGTTCTGACATGTCAGGATTCATGCAAACCTCATTTTTCTTTGGTTACATGGCTTGCATCTGCTATGGTTTCTTTCTGATGCTTGGGACAGTCGGTTTCCGTGCGGCTTTGTTCTTTGTCCGCCACATATACCGCTCAATCAAGTGTGAATAGATGTTTAATGTTCAATCTACGATGCTCAGACAGGTATTGGAATTCTATGTTCAAAAACGTATGTGCTCAAAGTTTAAAACAGACATACACTTGCAAACACACACACACACACATATGTATGTATGCATGTATATGTATATTTCACAGTGTTGTGAACATGAGATGTCTTGCAGCTGAAATAATGAACGGGATTTCTAAACTAGAATTGGCACCTAAATTGTTGGAACCTTTTTATTGTTATAACTGTTAACCCAATGGTTTTGTTTTATAAAATCTGTAACTTGTAGCATGTTGCTAGTTTTGATGATAATCTTATTTGATTTAGAACCAGTTTCACGGTTGTACTAATCTTTTAGTCGACGTTTCGTGATTTGCGACTGTCTCAGGAGCTAATCTTGTGGCCGTTGCTGTAGCTGCTGCTGCTGCTGCCCAGGGTGAAACCATGAAAGCCATCAACTTACATGTTGAATGATGTTTTCATATATACTTGTTTCTGTTTGGTTTGGAAATAGGAAGAAACTTGGAAAATCGCCACTCAATTTTGGACATATACACAGACCATTTTCATTTTAAATCTGTAGTTTGTAATTAAAGTTTGTACAAGTCCAGGTATTCACCAGCTTTCTACATCTTTTCTGACTGCTCAGGCACAAAGTTTGTTTAAATGTCATTTTTGAGTTTCGTGGATTACTTATTCGACATTTGTTTAGCGCAGCCATGAAAGTTCCGGACTTCTTGATAAAACATAGCGATGGTGGCGCTTTAAATACGATTTTTAGGCATGTTTGTGCCTTAATTTCAAATAAATCTAGTACAAAAAGGAGACATGTCTAGAGGTATCAAATGAGGAAGTTGATGAAAAAAGGAGTATGAGTTTATTTGTACGTGTCTCCGTCGTTACAAAATAGCTCATAGTGTTTCTGTAAGGCGTGGTTCATGCCATGGCGTCTTAAGGCACACCATGGCACACTGTCGCTTTTTTTTCAATTCCTTTTTATGGTTTTACACTCTTGACTTTAAATTTTGCAATTTTATAGATCCAACTAATCAAATCACTCAGTTTCAAAAATCCATAAACGTTAGAAACTCATGGTTAAAATGAAGTTGTAAAATTATTTTTTTAAGTTCTATTTTAAATATTTAATCAAAAGTCTATTTTTATAATAATAACCTATATAAGAATTCGATGACAAGTAAAATCATTATCCAAAGTAGATGAGTTCTTGTCTGACCATCTGAATGATTTATTAGTATCTTTTATTATAAGCTATGAAAGTTTATTTTGATATGATTTGAAAAATATGTTATTGATTATTATTGCATTGAGAAATAAAATAAAATACACAAGACGTCTATTTGTAAAACTAGGCATAATTTTTCATCTTCGAATCAAATATTACACATAAGTCAATAAGAGATAAATGTATTTACATGGTTTTTTTTGGTTGTTATTTTATATCTAAACTTTTTTTAGATGAATTATCTTGCAAAAAATAAAAATAAAAAAAAGATAATTTATCTCGACAAGGACCACGACTTGCACATCATATGTATATAATATCAGAGTTTTAAATACAAACTATGTAATTCTTATCATTTGATAAGCTATCAAATGATCATCCTGAGATTAATCAGCTCATATAGCGGGTTGAATATTCATGTTAATAAAAAAAAAAAAAAAACAATTGATTTTATTTTGACATGTGGTTGAGTTTGTTAATTATAGATTTCATCTAAGAATAACATTTAAACAGTTTCAAGTGATTCAACGTTTAAGAACGTCCAAACTGCAAACCATGAATAAGTGAAACAAAACTTGAGGGACCATTTATGTAATTACTCAATCTTTCAAAAAGTACACGAAAACCCCCCTTCAACAAACGTTCCGGACTATATAAGGTACTTTACATATAAACGTACATGTAAAGATCACATCTGTCGGTGACCACTCTAGCAGCGTCAAGGATGTGGACGACAATGGTGGTGATACGGTGGCTGGTGGTGGCGCTACTAGTGGCTTTTTCCATTGAAGAAGTCCGATCGGATGCCTCAGATCACAAATACAAACCTGGTGATGAAGTCCCTATATATGCCAACAAAGTCGGTCCTTTCCATAACCCTAGGTAGGCTTTTTTCTCTACGTCTAGACTAGATCTTTGTTTTATGCGTTTTGTTTAATACATTATGTTTCTTGCTACTGCTAGTACTGAATCGGTGGATCTATTTTGATAGAATTAGGGTTTCTGTATTTATTATTTGCTAGATCTCAGCTTCATTTACGCAAATCGGGGTTTTATTTGCTTAGTTATAAGCATTATCGGCTGGGGTGTCAGATTCTTCGGTGACTCTTTCAGCTGATTTTAGATGTGGAGTTGTCACAATCGGACCAAGAATAAGATTTGTGTTTGCACAGCAAGGAAATGGATTTAGTTATGAGCAGCTCGTAATACATAGATAAATGGGAGGAAAATATGGATACCTAATGTGAGATACGGTTTCTGTCAGCCAAACTAGATTGGGAGATTGGTCGGCACTATTTGTAAAATTGAGAAGTCTGTGTTGCCAACCGAAGTTAGTAATATTTAAGGGGCAGAAGAATGAGATCATCAAATTCAGTTCGTCTTTTTAAGAGGATGATATTCTTACACCAGTGAGGTAAAAAAGTAACCCCCTCTCTCTTTTTGCAAAATAAATGAACTTTTTGCAAAAAACAATTAAAAATACGAATTAATGTTTTTTAGTTGTAAATTATAACATGGCATTATTAAGTTATTCTAGATCTATATGTAGACCTGCTTGTCACCAAACACTTAAAAGTGGGTTAAATAGATTATTTTAGTCGCTAATAAGCTATCACAGAATTTAGCACTCACTTTGTGAGTGACAAGAGACCACTATGAGAATAATTTTTAACAGATCTGAGTTTGTAGCAAACGTATAACAAATGCTAAACTACAATAATAAGAGTAAATGCAGTCTAAAAGTTTAAAATCCACATGGCTCATCTATGTTGGTACAGAACTAAAACTAAAGAAGTTCTCATAATTTGAGATTAATTGGAGTAATATTTATATGTAATAGCATGGCATAATTTGAATAGAGGTCTTTCTTTAACAATTAATTTAGTTTCAAGAGAATATGCCTCAAATCTCTAGAAAACCTACCTACAGCTCTCGTCTTCTGTTTATGTATGTAGGATGCCCTTTTCATTAATGAGAAAGTGTTGGGGGCATCATGATTTTGCTGTTTATGCATAGATGACATTATTTTCTTCCTATAGAAAATTAAGCACATAGGAGCTTTTATCACATCTTATTGGCCCTTGATGAGTTGATGGTGTGTCAGATACATGGAGGCCTGTTATTGATAAAAAGAAGTGTCTTTGTATGTTATGATATTGGCTTTGAGCAATTGTTTTGCAACTGGTGCCATTCTTGTGTCAAAAAAGTTTTGCAGGGAAAAATTGGCATTCCATTCTGAAAGAATAGGCTCAAGAATTGTTAGAAAGAGAATTTGTAGGTTTTGGGAGTCCAAATATGTGTGTATTCTGTGAAATGTGTTTCATTTCTCGTATTTTCTTTAAATTTTAAGAACCATCAATTTATTAGAGCATGTCCATTTTATATGCCTTCTTCCTTAAAAGCTTATTCTATCACTCTGTATTCTTCTACAGTGAAACATACCGCTTTTTTGATCTACCCTTCTGTTTACCAGGTGCGTGTGCTTGTCTTCACTCTCTTGCTATTGATATTTCCTTCATGCCAAATGTTTAGTTGATTGGTAGATATTGGGGTATAAACTAGGAATGACAGCATAATGATTGAGAGTTTTTACAGAGGAGACCTTTATTTTAGTGTTTTAAAAAGCTGTAGGGGGTGCCATGTGGCCTGCAATTGGGTAGGGGGGATTATGAGGATCATTAAATGGACGTATCAACTGGTCTAGCTTTAATGTATACAAAACAGTTGGTATAAAATAGCTTCTAATATTAAACTTACCTATTCTTCAATTATTATCATTATAATTGTTTATAAATAACTTAATGGAATTATTTCTGATCCCTTAAAGTTTTTTATTTCTATTTTTTGTGTATAGAAGATATAAAACTATTCTTCAATAGTCAACTAATTCAGATTTATTTTGAAATCATAAAAGTGAATTTGACAGCTTGTATGAGATAAAAGAGAAATAAAAGGGATTACTTAGAAAAATAGGAATATTTTCTATACTTACCTTGGGGTATTTGGGTTGGAAAAATACTATAGATGCCAAAACTCTCCATTCTCACCATTTAATCCCTATTGATTCCAAGTTGCATAACACCCCCTCCATTCTCCATAATACTCTCTCCATTCTCCAATGCTTCATCGATTAGCAATGGAAGTAATAATAGCAAGATGAAATCGAAAATCAGAACCCGGTACTTGCAAGACAATATGGGATCTCAGAAGACGGAACAGATGGAACTGTTCTGTCTCAGCCGTTCCATCTTTGCCATACGCCCACCTCCGCCAAGGTGGCCACTAAATGCGATTTTTAGAACAGTGCTTTTTTCAGACATCCCAAAATAAGAAAAATGGGTTATAGTTTGTAATGGAGGGAGTATAGATTTCCTTATCTGTTATTTTATTGTATATTATCTTCTATTGTTTTTGTTGCTTTAGCCTTTTGTTCTTGCTGGTATACATCATTAATGTGAATGTTGTTTGCAGCTCATTTAAAGGAGAAGCCAGAAGCTCTTGGTGAAGTACTGAATGGAGATCGTTTAGTCAGTGCTCCTTATAAGCTTGACTTTATGGTTGAAAAAGACTCTGAAATTGTTTGCCGAAAAACACTGACAAAGGAGGAAGTATCTAAATTCCGAAGTGCTGTTACCAAGGATTATTATTTTCAAATGTACTATGATGACTTGCCTTTCTGGGGATTTCTAGGGAAGGTTGAAAAGGACAAAACTGATCCCAGTGAGGAAAAGTATTACCTCTTTAAGCATCTTCATTTCGAGATCCTCTACAATAAGGATCGTGTCATAGAGATAAATGCAAAAGCTGATCCTAATGCTGTGGTGGATCTCACTGAAGACAAGGAAGTGGAAGTAGAATTCATGTACACGGTCAGGTGGAAAGAAACAAGCATTCCTTTTGAGAGTAGGATGGAGAAGTACTCTCAGTCTTCTTCACAACCACATCACCTGGAGATCCATTGGTTTTCAATTATCAACTCATGTGTGACAGTTCTCCTCTTGACTGGTTTTCTTGCCACGATTCTTATGCGAGTCCTTAAGAATGACTTTGTTAAGTAAGGAATAAATTCCGTTTATTTTAGATGCACTATCATCTGACACTTCTTTTTTCCCTCTTCCATTAATCATTTTACTTGTGGTCATTTACAAAAGGTATGCTCATGATGAGGAAGCAGCTGATGACCAAGAGGAAACTGGGTGGAAGTACATTCATGGCGATGTATTCAGATATCCAAAGTATAAATCCTTGTTTGCTGCTGCACTTGGTTCTGGGACCCAGCTATTTGCTCTGTAAGTAAAGCATTTGTGAACGAATTCACATCTTCCATCTTCAGTGGATTGGTTTCTAAACCATCTCTTCGTTGCTAACTTGACTACTTTTTGGTTCTTTCAGTGCGCTTTTTATCTTTATACTCGCTCTTGTCGGTGTGTTTTATCCATACAATCGAGGAGCTCTGTTTACCGCACTGGTTGTCATATATGCCCTTACATCTGGGATTGCAGGCTACACTGCAGCCTCTTTTTATCACCAACTTGAAGGAAGTAACTGGGTATGATATTCTAGATGTTGATAATTGTTTCTATCATATTTTCTATTTTGTCAAGATCAATGCATCCGATCGTTATGCTTTCTTTATGTATTGGTTATTGAAGTTTAGTTTCAGGACAAGGGGGTGATACAATTTGTTTTTGGAACCTTTTACATCCTAGAGATATTTGTAGTTGCTGATTTCATTCTCTTGGTATCTAAATCTACGATGATTAATGCTGATATAATATTTCTGATCAACAGGTGAGGAATTTACTGTTGACTGGTTGCCTCTTTTGTGGACCTCTCTTCCTTACTTTCTGCTTTTTAAACACCGTTGCGATCATTTACACTGCTACTGCTGCTTTGCCCTTTGGTACCATCGTGGTGATTGTTTTAATATGGACTTTGGTGACTTCGCCGTTGCTAGTATTGGGAGGTATTGCAGGAAAGAACAGCAAGGCTGAGTTTCAGGCTCCTGTTCGCACCACAAAGTATCCCAGAGAGATCCCATCATTGCCTTGGTACAGGAAGACTATTCCTCAGATGGCCATGGCTGGTTTTCTCCCTTTCAGTGCAATTTACATTGAGCTTTACTACATATTTGCCAGTGTGTGGGGCCACAGGATATATACAATATACAGCATCTTATTTATAGTTTTTATCATCCTACTGATTGTTACTGCCTTTATCACGGTGGCGTTGACGTATTTCCAACTTGCTGCCGAAGACCATGAATGGTGGTGGAGGTATGCAACATTTTCACCTCAAATGCACAATTTTATTTCTTACTGATATCTCATATTTGACATCCAACTTGTTGGTTTTTGGTTGCAAATTATGAGCAGGTCTTTCCTATGTGGTGGTTCAACAGGGGTTTTCATCTATGGGTATTGCTTGTATTACTACTATGAGCGTTCGGACATGTCAGGGTTCATGCAAACCTCATTTTTCTTTGGTTACATGGCTTGCATCTGTTATGGCTTCTTTCTGATGCTTGGGACGGTTGGTTTTCATGCGGCCTTGTTCTTTGTCCGTCACATATACCGCTCGATCAAGTGTGAATAGAAGCTCCACGTTCAGTTTTCCAAATTTGAGACAGGTACATGTGTATACCTTCCATTTCAGGAATCCTATGATAGAAAATATATAGTGTTAATAAATGGTGTTTTTTGTTTGATATGGCGCGTCTCAGGAGGGGCGACCGACCAATGTGAAAGCGAAAAGGTAACAAGAAGCAATTTAGAGGAATTATGTTTAGTAGGTGAATAAGATGAAAATGATGTTTGATATGTTAGTTGTGGTGTTTGAAGATAGGAAGGAGGCTAGTTTTGAACTATATATACAGACTCAATTTTTGACATATATATAGACCTTTTCCTTTTCCCTTTCCCTTTCCCTTTCCCTTTAAAGCTTGTTATTGAAGTTAGCCAGGTGTTCTTGGCTCTGCATGCTGATTGTTTATATGATGTGGTCGGTTCATTTATCAAATGTTTACCGAATAAACACTCACCCGCAATAGTCATCACCCTCACAGCCTCACCTTAATATGTAAGATTTTATGCTATCAAAATGGATTGTTGGTAACCGTAGTTTACTTGGGCTTGTTTAACGGGTAAGAGTTTTCTCCACTCACTTACCGGGTTAGATATCAATTTTTGATGTATGTCTCTTACCGAGTATTATTCTACCCACTAACGCAACCGACACTTGGTTAGACGATTATCCAGTAAGCGTTTGGTAATGACCTCTTAGGGCATCTCCAACCTAACACTAAAAACAGAAAATGAACCTCATCTCCAATCCAACACTAAAAAAAGGAGATGAAATATTGATTCCAGTTTTGGCGACGAAAATTGGATTCATAATCGGTTATTCCGATTTAATCATTTTTTAGTTATTTATTAACTATAAGTGTAAATTTAAAAATTTCTTTGTCATCACTAAATTTAACTTTTTTCTTGAAATTAATCAAATAAAACCCAAAAATACACTCTCTCTGTCTCCATCGTCCCTTCCTTCCTTGTCCAAATCCCTGCACAACTCATCTCCTCCGGCTTCCTAACTTCAACGATCCGATTCCATCATCGCCACCACGTAGATCCGAAGAAAATCAATAAAGGATTCCTCGTTATGCATGTTGATCGACTTGTAAATTGTTGGGGGTATTTTAATTAAATCACATAATTAATTGATTGATTTAGTAAATAGATTAAAGTGTCGTCAAAAAGGTTGATGACTATCGAGATGCTTTAAATCAATTTACAGAGTTTACATGGTTATAAAGGGTAAATTAACCAATGTTAATGGACTTTATAATAGGAATAAAGTGGGGTAATTGAAGTTATAATGGTTGGCGCATTTTTAATTAGGAGTGAGAAATATTATAAAATGTCTAATTGACGTTATAGGATGTCGTAAAGCTTAAAGCTTGGGGTTTAACGATATTTGACGGAGGTTGATCGAGTTGACTAAGGGTTGACTTCAAAGTCACTAGGTTTGATCTTATTAACATAGTTCTAACTTTTGGGTCGATTTTTTGAAAAAAACCTAGTCATTAATTGGTTATTATGGTTTAATAACTGTAAGTTATTAGTCAGGGAGATCATTTGGCAACTTACGCATTCAAATGAGTTTTCATGAGACTTTAACTGAAATGCATGCTTACATACAAATTATTTGAACATTATGTTCTTTTTTGGTGAGATTCCCGTAAATTCAGTCTCCCCTTGTGACTACCACTCTTTGGTGGTAATGTCTCAGGCGAACAAAAAAGCCATGTGTACTTTTTTGTATTAAAAACCCTAACATTTGGGTCTTGATTGTGGTTTCTTAGCCGGTAAGGTTGTTGATTGTGCTTTCTTCAACATTGATTAGGTCTGTAGGTTTTCAGCATAAAAAGCATTTTGTGAGGATCAAAACTACATAATATTTGGTTTATGTTTTTTGATTTAGGTTTTATGGTTTTTCTTGATGCCCTTGATAAAGAGTGATAAATTGATATTAAAAGCTCTTTGATTGTTGAATGATTTTGGATTAGATTGGGATAAGATGATATTTAAAAAAAAATTAAAAATGCTAAAATGATAGAAAATGGTAAAAAGAACATAGTACCCTCGAGTTTAACGAAGAAAGTGGATGACAGTTAGTGTGAGGGATCAAATTCAAAACAAATTGTACAGGTGAAAGCTTATCATGTAATAAATGAAGATAAATGACCAAATCGATAACAAACCGCAAACCTCATGACCTAATATGTAATTTACTCTAATTAGTATGATAAATTAAAAACTACAGAAAAAAAAATATTTAATTAATATTAAGGTTATAATTAGAAAAGGTGGAAAAAGTTCATTTAAATTCACGTTTTAAGTTAGCTTATTTGCATATTCAAACTAAGGTTGGCAACCCGAGGCGGAACCTTATAGGGGTCTTTGGGGGGCCATGGCCTCCTTGCTTTTTGACTCAAATAGAGTTCATGAACTATGAAGAATAAATATTGTTGGCAGCTCAATTGATTATCATTTTATTATCATATATATGATGTGAAGTGATTTTATTCACGCAAATCATAAACTCACCGAGCTTTATAAGCTGACTATAGTATGCATCTTAGTGACAAAATTAAGGTTTCGGGTTGGACAAAAGAAAATGGCATGCATAGAGACTTACCTTGTCCATTTACATTTAATACTTATATTCAGATATCTATGATAGATAAATTTTGTAACAAAATCCGGTATAAGACAAATTAATATTTAAGTCACATATTTATCTTTTTAGAGTCTTCCGCGGACTAAAGTATTAATTTAGCTGAAATTTTGAAGGAATTGTTTTAGATAACGCGACATTTCTCATGATAAAAATGAGGGTGTTATAGTAATGGTAACGAAAAATCATTTATCCATATCCTACCCACTAAAATTTCGAGTAAACGAGTGAATAAAATTTGAGAATCAAAGACCCAGAACCTGTGGTTGTCCAACTTGAGCTTGAGTACCATGTAATAGCTTGAAACTTTGTCATTTTCTAATTGAAATTATCTCTGAATGAAAATTTTATGGAAATTGAAATTGTAAAAGATGGCAGTTTCGGGACTGGTCTCTCAACCAATTCTCATAACTGGTTCAAATAAGGCCTGTGTATGTCCGATTTCAAAATCTTGGGTTAGCCAGTTGACAGTTGGGCCTGACCAGTTCCTATTCGGTTACAATCGGTCCTTAACCGGTTACCAATTGAATCCGAGTTCTATTAACTTGGAGTGGTCAACCCTCACGTTTGCCTATATCTAACTACTTTAGAGCAGGTCCTTGCACCAAAGCGGTTGTGGTGATCGGTCTCCATCATAGGCTCATTATCATTTTGTGGTTCTTGAACTTCAATTTTTAATTATCTGAATTCTTTTCTAGCTAGAAAGCTACTATAGAAACACACAGTTCCTTCTTAGAAGGATCGATTATATAAACAGTATCCTTTTTGTGATATTCTAAAAGTTCTTTAGTAGTATATATGGCTCAAATGAATAGAGAGATGAAAATGCATAACTTTCCATTCAAGACCAATACATGATTACATAAAGAAACCAAACTAAAAAAAGGGATTCTTTTCAGGCCATCGATCAGGCCACAAGCTAACACTTTCTAGCCCATTCCGACCTTATTCAAGATATTAAATCGATCTATACCTACTCCCTTTCTTCTGAGAAACCACTCTTCTAGCTAGTCAGAAGAACTGACAGGTGAAAGGCTAGCTAGAAGCTCAACAAACATGATCGAGCTGTACTATGATACATGATCAATGATGATGGTGATCACTGTGCTTCATTTTGTCTGAAGTTGTAGAATTCTCTTGTGCAAGATAAGCTGTTTCTATGCGTTTCCTGGGAACTTGGCTTTTTTGGAACTTTTGTAGGAGTAGGAGATCTGTAGAAAAGAAACAAGTTAAGTACACCAAGCACCAACTGAGCTCGAGGGATCATTTTCTTACGAGCACATCAGTAAGAGAATTTCTTTTATAAATAAAATTACTGATAACCTTCGCGGGAAGAAGGGCCGATCAAATAGAGGCATCAACTGAGCTCGAGGGATCATCTCCTTTCTTAACATTCGAACCTCTTCTTCTTCAATCATCTGGTTTGATCAGTTTTCAGATGATCAAGATAAACGTCAAACTGTCTGTTCTACTTATATCTTGTTATGTAACTGTGTCTCCTAATATATAGGAATTGCAAAATGGAAAAAGGAGATGGATATTAAGTTTTAACACAATTTTAGCAAGTTCAATTGTTCATGCCTTCTGTATCTTCTCTATTTGTCTCTTTTGTTGCTCCATTAGGTAAAGCTTGGTCGCTACCTGCATGTAAATTAATTGTCCACAAGTTTAGAGAACCATTTTGTACAGACAGACGATATACTGATCATTTGCTAACCAAAAAAAGGCCTGTAAAAGTCTGAAAACTGTTGCTATTGAAATTTGCGAGGATCTACATATTCTACCGATTTAATTACTTGAGCACGACTCACCGAGTAGTTAAAGAATGCACGTTTGACTGCTCTTTCCTTCGTTTGAAGTTTAACTTCCATAGAGTACTTGGTGCTTTCTTTGGCTATTGTTTGGAGTTTGACATCCACAGGCTTCATGTTTTCTTTTATTGATGCCTTCGTCGGGATAACCTGCAACTAAATTAATTATTCACTGGTATTGTATATTTACTTCAACACACACATATTAGATTGCATAGAGAGCTAGCAACCACGTTTGCAATGCCATTTTCGAACCTACGCCCTTCTGGCTTTTATGAGACCATTTTACTTTAGTTGCAAATCATGATGATCTTTGTGTAGTGGTGTGGTTCTTAGTTCTTGTAATCGACATTAATTTCGATAAAAGAATCAAACTTAATTACAGGTAACCAATTGCAGCAGGTTGTACCGAAGGTTTTGCTTTCATGGGAAGGGAAGGGCAGACCGATTTCACGACTCTAGTTGGCGAGCGAACAGCATCGTTGTTGTATGAAGTAATCTTCACACACTTGAACCAAAAACACCAAGGGAAAATGTGTTAGACCCTGAAACAGAATCTTTAGATCTTAAAGAAAAAAAGCAGAAGCATATGCAAGATGATATTGACCTTTTGGGTAGTTTTTATTCTAGGGTTTTCCATGAGTAAAATAAATTAAGTGCAGTGAAGTGAAGTGAAGTGTGTGTTGTTATGTATATACTGTTATATATATATACATATAAATGGAAGTGAGGGTTGGAGATTTGTAGCTATCTGAGTATGTTAGGTAGGATGACTTTTTGCTGGATGCTGCTGCTGCTGCTGCTGCAACATCGCCAGCATATTCAGAAAGTTGCATGCTTTCTTGCACCAAACTTTCTGATGAAACCTATCCCTCGTATATATCTTCATAGCTTTATTCACCAAGTATGTTATCGTATTGGTGTTTTCAAAAAAGAGATATATAATGGAAGTGTCAATTATCAGTTGGTTACATGATACACGCTGGTTAATTATTACCCCAGGAAGAAATGGATGTTCTTTATCACGACAAAATATACTCATATTGCCTATGCTATGTGTATTTATATACACGCATTTGATATACTAGTGTGTGGTGGGATGTAAAATTAACAAAAATGTAATGTAACTCGTCATTATTAAAAAAATCCAAAGTTTATGTTTAAGCATAAATTACATGATATGCTAAATTGTTTTGCTTTTTTGAAACAATGAAATCATGAGTGAAAACGGATCAACCAGGTGAACATTTATTGTAATCACATATGATATACATAAAATCTCTCCAGACACCCAATTACACTCTGCCTAAAGATTGAACTTACAAATATACATTTTAATATATATATATATATATATATATATATATGATTTTGTATGATACTATATATATAACCTATGATTAAACTCTGAAAAACCCTTGTTTTTTAGGGTAATGCACGAAAGAGAAGGAGATGCAACCAGACAACCACCATTGAATTGAATAATGAAGCTAACAAGAACAGTCCTATTGACATCAGTATGTTGTCCTTGTTAAATCAGTTACTAGAAAGGAATATCACTTTATCAATTTCTTAGATTCTACTTCCCATTAAATATATAAAACTATTATTGTTTTTAAAAAACGCACAAATTAAACACGATAATAAATATTAAGAAATCGATGTTTTTATTTGACAAAAGAAGATATATTAATTGTAGCTGATTTTTATAGTAACATATTTTAAAAAACGCACGAATTAAACACGATAATAAATATTAATAAATGTTATAAAATAATTTAATTACGTGGGGAGAGTTGGGTGATTGATTAATTAGAAAACAAAAACATGATATGCAATGCTTATGTGTGAAGTTACTAATAACATCATTCTGTTTCTATAACCTTGATTTGGCAACTAACTGATAATTGAAGGCTTAACCTCCCATTTACATACACTACTATTTACTACAATGTCCACGTCATAATTTGGAAAGTTTCTGCAAAATTATATTATATATAGAGAGAGAGTCGGGTTTATATACACGAGAATGATACATATTTAAGAAAATAAAAAGATAATCGAATCACATGTGATTTGACATTAACATCACCTACAAAATTACATGTGATTCATGCAACCTTGCCATGCAGCCATAGGGTTGCCCCTACATTTTTTTGGCCGTTAATGTAAAATCACATGTGATTTTGTATGTAATTTAACTATTTTTTTATTTTCTTAAATAAGTATCATTCTCATATGAATCTTTCTAAATATATATTATGAGGTTTAAGATACAAACCATGATTAGCACTTGTATTAGGCCACAATTGAGATAATTACAGAATATAATAGAGTTCATTCATTATGATCATCAGAGGATGACCAGACTGAGCGTCGTACATGAATTATTTACAAAGAGAAAAAAATAAGACGTTTTGAAAATGCATCCACTTAATTATGAGGGTACCTTTAAATATTTATAGATCAAATTTAGAACAAGAAAATAAAGTTGGCGAAATGGTTGTTGCAGGTTGTAACTCTAGTAAACACTCCCCGTTCAAGAGGTTGCAGGTTCAATTTAGAACAAGAAATTAAAGTTGGTGAGGGTGCTTTTCAATTTTTAAATTTTTAAAAGGGTTTCTAGCATGAAATTTTAAAAAAAAATAGAAGGGTGTTATGTGATATTTTGAAATTATAGGGACTAAACGAACATTTTCAATGAAACTTATTTAAACAATGGGTTTTGTTTTCATTTATGTTATTCAATCACCACCCATCCTCATATCTATTTCAAAATTTTTGGGCATTTTTTATTTATTTGTCCTAAATTATTTTAATTTTATTTTTGATTTGTCTTTTTTTCCCTAAATTCTAGGTTTGCTCTAAATTGATCTTGTTTCATTATTGATTTGCCCTTACATATGTTTAGTCATTTTTTATTTGCTCAAAACCAAGTTTTGATTTCAATTTGGTTGGTTAATTTTTAATTGTAAAACATCATATTTAATATTAAGAAGTCCTGGATGTATAAAGCAACAAAATTGGAAACCTAACTAAAAAAAGAAAGATAAAATGGAAATCAAAACCAAATCCTATAAAATAGAAAATTTTACGAAATCAACCAAAAACCCAAAAAAACTACCTTGTAATGTGGAATTCGGCTAAAACAGGTCGGGTGTAAGAAATAGTCTTGCATCATTTGCTTAAAAGGTTAAAATTGGTTTGTATGATTTGTATTTACAACTCCTATATATATATATATATATATATATAGGGTCTATTTCTTTTACAACCTTGTGCATTTGTACAACCTTTGTAACCTAATTAATTGAGATATTTATAGAAATGATTGGAGTTCATTTATTATGATTTAAATATTTATGGAATATGAATAGAGTTTATTAATTATGATTAATAATTTATATTAGGAAACAATTAATTGATTAAAAATTGAATGGTTGAGATGAGGGTTGTATAGGGTGTAGGAATGGCAAGGGGTGTAGAATAACATCCCTCTATATATATATATAGAGAGAGAGAGAGAGAGAGAGAGAGAGAGAGAGGACAAATCAAATACAAACAATGAAAATGTTATAAACCGTACAAACCAATTAATAAGATATTTATGAACCACAATGGTGGTGTCTGATTGGTTTAAGTTTGGCTCCAAAGGTCAAAAGTACCGGTAGGTACCAGGTTCAAATCCAAGGAGAAATAAAAACCCCTTGTGGCCACGGAGGTTCAAATGCGGTGACTCCGGGCTATCTGCAAAGCAGGTGGTCGCCCTATTATTAGTCGGCTCGCATAGCAGGTTGGATATCCAGGTTAATAACAAAAACAATATTTATGAAAATGATGAAGATTCATTTATTACGATGCACATATTTATGAAAAATGATTAAAGTTCATTAATCATGATCAACACTTTGGGAAACAATCGATATATTTATGAAACCATAATATTTGTTAGACTACATAAACAGTTGAGATTGATTTGTATACTTTTCTATGGTTTGTATTTGATCTGTCACACACACACACACATACACACACACACACACACATATATATATATATATATATATATGGGCATGTTCAAATGCGAACCGTCCAATTCTAAAAATCCGTGTAAACCAAATTCGACCAATAAGAAAATTCCATTTGTTTTCAATTAAATTTAAATAATAAGGGTATTTATGACATTTTGTACACATATTTCGTAATTATGGAAGTTATTAATTCATATTATATAAGGAAATAAAATAAAATAAATATTGAAGAAAGGAAACGTTTCAGTATATAAGGAAATTATATTATTAAAATCATTATTTTAATGATAACTATAATGAATAATGAAACAAATTATGAAGATTTCATCAAATATATTGATGAAATCGTGGGTTGCTGCAGGTGAAAAAAAAACAAATATTCATTATACTCTATAGTCATGAAAAAGGTTTCATGTGTAAATTACTTATATTAGTCTTCAAAGCATATTATATATATCAATGAAACATTGTCATGATGTAAAAAAATTCATATTTTAAGAGATGCAAGATTCGTGAAATGAGTTTAGTAAAATGAAACATTTTCATTTTCGTAATACATTTTTTCATTTTATAAATGATTCAATATATAATAGTGAAACAGTTTCATTATATTGAAAATGGAATTAATGATAATGCAACACTTTTGATGAGCAAAGGTTTCAGTACGAAATAGTTTATGAAAGRGGTTGATGTTGGTGAAACAGTTTCATTTCATATTTGATTTGAGGCTGAATAATTAGTTTCATGATGAAACAATTTTATTTAATTTTATATGTTATTAAGGTTCATGTAATTCATCATTGTTCAAAGATTTCATATCATGAAGCTGGTGCACAGTGATTTATGAAATAGACATATCATGAAGCCGGTGTATTTTAATTTCCTAAAATACAATGGGAGTATTTGGAAATAGGAAACGAGGGCTTTTGATATGAATACCGATTCTACCCTTTTTTCTTAAATAAAATGAATATTAATTATTTTTTAATTTTTAATTTCCTAAAATAAAATAATATAATCTAGGTCATTGATCAAGAAAATGAACGGATGAGATTGGTTTACACGGTTTACACAAATGGGTCAAGTTTTCATTTGAACGCTCCTCTCTCTCTCTCTCTCTCTCTCTATATATATATATATATATATATATATATATATATATATATATATATATATAGGAGGTTC